TTTACCGCCACCGACGCATCTGAGCAAGCAGAATTTCTAGCATCTGATTCAAACTTACACATATCTAAGTATGAATCTATGCACAGCTTTTATGATTGCTTTCATCTGAGTTGGAAAAGTCAATATTTCTATTTTTTACTATTGTGAATTTCATGTTTTATTTTTTAATGTGGCATGCATTTTTCTGATCTGACGTCAGTTAACTGATGCATCCGAGTATCAGTCGCTGCAGGTCCAGCAGGTTCTGCAGCAGCTTTTTCCCCTCGGCCATCAGACTGTTGAACTGTTTAAACTAATCAAGACTCTCCATCACACTTGTAAACATCATATCTGCACTACAAACATGGCTGACTTTTTTCCTAATCACTTTAAATAGGACACAACTCAATGTTCTACTGCATTTTGGACCATATTTATTTATTTGCACTGCACTGAAGCTTTCCATATCAATGCCTTTTGCACCATAACTTTAAACTGGTTTCCCTTTTCTCCTACACTGTTCATATTCTGATCAATGCTGCACTTCATAAATGGTAATGTTCATTTCACTGTTGTAAGCTGCTAATTCCCTGTTGAAAAGCTTTATGCATCGAAATTACAGTAAAGTTTGTATAAATATAAATCAAGTTAACTTTGCATAATCCTACAAATTTATTTCCTTACATCTTAATTCAGAATTGAAGCTGATCTGTCTACATTTTATATATACGGTATATATATATATTTTTTTTTTCTGGTTTTACTAGCCTAGAATGCGAAAATAATGTATTGTATCTTATTTATTTTACATTGTAGTAATTTATGACTTCCATTATACTTATATCTTGCTTTTTCATTAGCAATTTGTGGTGATTTGGCAGAAGCTAACTGTAAGATAAAGTTTGATTTCGTACCGTTGAGTAAACCAGCACAGGCTTTCTCCAGGTATTCTCTCGACTCCTCCTCAGTGGTGAACACAACTCCTCCTGCTGGCTGCAGGACCAGTTTAGGAGCAGATCCACGACTAAAAGTCTTGATAATAACAACACGAAGCAAAACACTTTAATCATATTTAATGCAAATAAGACAAATTCTTTATCTAATGTTGTTTTTGTTTTTTTTACCTCCATGCTATCATGTATTTCCACTTTATAGTCTCTCTTTAGGACAGCATATCTCTCTCTACATTTCTTTCCCTGCTCATCCCAGCAGGAGAATTTAACACCTCCCTGGTACAGCACCTCATCTCCATCAGTTTTTGGCTTCACAGAAACACAAAGACACAAGAACTTTTCAACTACTTATAAAACATAAAAAGTTCATAGAATGGACAGAGGAACAAACATAGGGCAGTAAGTGTGAAGCTAAAATGTACTGATTGGATATGTAGATAGTCTCAGCTCTTACCCTTTGTGTGAGCAAAAAGCCTCTCCCCTCCTTTTTAGGCTCCACCTCCTGGTGGATGTGTCCAAGGTAGGATACAGAGTACTGCTGCCTGTAAATCCCACTGAAGCTCTGAAAGGTGCTGTCAACGAGCCCTGCAAACAAATAAAGAGACTCAGTTCTGGTCAGATTCTAGAAAATAGAAAATAATTGATAGAAAGGCTGAAAATGGGCTCTCAAGATAATCAGATATTTTTTCAAATTTTTAATGATTAAAGATATTTTCTTGCATTTTTGTCTCTCAATAATTTATTATAACGGGTGCCCTGATGCATGTATTCTATGGAGCCTAGGCTGAAGTTCGACTGAAGGAACTGATTGTTTTCCTTCATCCATCTGCGACACAGCCAATCAGCTTTGAACAATGCCTCCACGAAAGCCAATCGGCATCCAAAGTTCATCTCAAAAGGCCTCCTGTCTGTACTTGTCTGCTCCTGTGCGCAGGCGGCGGATACGCTGTGACTTCATTCAGATGACATCGTTTCAACCCACCTCCAGCCCCTCCTCCACCATCGTAGCTAAAGCTTCATCAGAGTGTCATTCCTCCCGAACTCTTACTGCTTTCCCTGTCTGATCTCAACCGGTCTGGCAGAAGACTGCCATGTTGAGCCTGGTTCTGCCAGAGGTTTCTTCCCAACGGGGAGTTTTTCCTCTCCACTGTCACTTCATGCTTGCTCATCATGGACAGGTTCTCTCAGCCTGTGTTATCCAACTGGACTTCCATCTTCCAGGTCCCTGAGTGAAGCTCTAGTATCAGCTCACGCAATCCACTGGATCTCCCCATAAAGCTCAGCAGACCGTCTCACTAACCAGCAGTCTACAGACTGACCAACTTCATCTATCTCCACTCCACTACCAGTTTCAGGCCCTGGTGGAAACAGCCCTATTCTTTGCTCCTGTTCATGCATATCTATCAAAATTAAGCTCTATGTTTCCTGCTGAGGTCTGAGCGCCAAAGACAAAGTAATTGTATCAATAAATTTCTCCTAATTGTCTTTTCTCTTCGTGTGAGTTTCTCAGATTCAACCTTAGCACATTTATCCTTCCATGACAGTTCTACCTTTAAATCTTCTTAATGACCAAGATGGGACTACTTGAAAATACTAACTGATGCAACTTTATACCTTTTATTTAGTCAATTCCAACATTTTGGCTTTTTGGGCAATAATTTAAAAAAATCAAAAAGTCTTTTTAGTCTTCAGGATCGCATTTTTTTTATTCTGGAGAGCCATCCCATTAGCTGCACACTGATTACTTCATTATACCTTCCTCACACATCGGAGCTGGCAGGTATTTATTTGGTGGCATTTTACAGTTTTGCTAGTAGATGTTACTTTACTACTTTCAGTAGTAACTTTCAGAAAAACAAACATGATGGTCTGAAGGATGTGCTCCTTAACAAAATATGTCACGCAAGGTTTTAACCTGTTCGACCTGTTTAATCAAGCGTTAACCAACTACAGGTAAAATGACCTAAATCAGTTGCCCTAAAATGAAGCATCCTGCATGCTACAAAAAAAAAGCCCAACATATGTGTATTTATTAAGTTATTTACTAGTTTATTTGTTCAGGGCAAAATTTTTTAAATTTTAAAAGCTCTTAGATTCTATAGCTATGAGCATGTTAACTATTCCTGTACCTAGTTGAGCTTCTTTTGCATAAATGTATTAACGATGTAAAGAATGTCGAAAGCAACTAAGTAATTTACAATAAAACAAAATAGCTTTAGATAAAGCAGAGAAAGATGGCAATCATTCAGAAATATATGTTCACTGCTCTGATCGTGCATTAACAAGAAAAGGGCCGTGAGACCATAAGATTAAAATGATAATGTTGAAGGATTTTATTATTTTATGTTTAAAGAGCAACAAAACATCAATGAGAAAAAAGTGAAGCCAAATATATTGATTGAAAATAACATGAAGATCCGCAAGCATAAAAGAAGCATTTATAAGTAAGTTTAAAATGAAGGAATTTAAGGAATATTTCAGAGTTCATGATATGCAGATACATAAACACATGACAGCGATGTAATCTGATGAACTTCCTGTCTGAGATACTGGTGCTGTGTTTGAAAAAATAAATGACACTTTGGTGGGAATGCTTGAGTGCGTTCAGTTATTTTCAGCTGAGTTAGTCACTGATTAATCAAAGTTGATTGCTTTTACGTTTTACTTAAAAATTACGTAAAAATTGTTTTATCATCTTTCTTTTTTATATTATTACTGTTTGTCAATGTTCTCATTCTTGGTGAGGAAAACAACCCTTTATTGATATCATTTTCCTTTTTACAATGCTTCAATAAACTCCAAATAGAGACACGGCTATATTGAAATAGAAACAATGTCCTTCCAGCAACAGATAAAAGCTGGAACATCGGCATATAATTAGAAATCTGCACTGATGCAACACTACAGCAAATCTAGTGTGCATAAAGTGAAAAGGCATCTTCCAAAACCTGGGCTTCTCAGTAGACCTACATTAAATTTCTGAACTTATTCCCATTATAAATGATAAGACTCTGTTCACAGCTTCATAATTTAAACCAACCAAAATTCATCTTAGAATTATTACTTCCTGATGCTTGTTAACATAAAGGGAACAGGATGATTAGAAAATAAATTTTTAAATGTTTTCCTAATTGAAAAGATACTTAATGTTCTCCATCTTTGATTTTATTAAGTAGAATTTTTGATAAAAGGAATAACACTACGGACAGCCCTGAGCATCCTCCTCATATCTTCCATAAGTCTACTGTGGAGAGAGTGATCTGCTTAAATAAGCTCAACATGCTGATCTGTTCTGCAAACACCTCTAGAAGCTCTGATTTATTGTTTTTATCTCTGCTGGAGTATTTTAGAAAGTATTTAATTTTTTCATAAAATAGCTACCATAATGGATCCCTGTATTTCTTCTCCAAAAGACTGTTGTACAACAAGAATCTCCAAATTATTCCTGCCTTCAACCATTAGAATCTAAACAACTAATTTAAGAAAACCCTTAAATATGAGCAACATTTCAAAGTCCTCTTTGAATGAATGAAGTAACTTTTAATTGAACTTATTTTTGATTCATTCGCCTAACGCAGAATTTTCGAAAATCAGACACACCTTCTATAAATTGTTTTATTCAATTACAAATTAGCCTTTTGAACAGAAAAAAAACTATAATTAAACTTCCAGTTATGTCTTTTTTATTTCATCTGACAGCTATACAATTAATTTACTTTGTTTGATACCCTAAAGTTCATATCATGCCTTCTGAAGCCTGCCATGGCATATTTACTAGGCACTTCTTTGCTTTGTTTTTATTGATATAAGATTAATCTTTTCCTCGTCTTCCCAATTAAAGTGAGTCTTGATAGTAGTTATTGGGTTAGAATCCAATCCACTTTGTTGATCTTGGTAGGAACGATGTGTCAGATCTCTTGTCCGTGCTCTAATGATTTGTTTGAGGGTAGATTTGTCATGATCTCTTGTTTAAATTCCGCCCACTCTGTGACTGATCTTTGGGTCAGTCCGACTTTCATCTTACAAACTGACCCAAACACAAGAATACACAGACAAAGATCAGACAACCCATAATAATATAATAGTTGGAAATAGCTGTAATTACATTCTACTTCGCAGGGAAGATTAGTGACAGGATGTGTCTGAGCTGATAACCAGTATAGGAATGCACACATGGAGAAATGGACAAAAGTTTCCCATTAAAAGAACATGTTGGATTTAAAGGTAAAAAAAATCATTAATAATCTGTTTCCATTTTTAGTCGATTCTCTCTGCTTTTAGATAAGATCAAACTAAAGTCATATTGGTGGTTAAAGCGGGGGCAATGCAACAGCAGTGGCCTTGGTGTAATTCTGGGTACCTTTGCTGACATGTCACACCCCTCCCCACATTTCCTGTGTGCCTCTTCGCTAAAAGTTTTCCACTAAAGTCAAAAGTAGTAAAACTTTCTCTTATGATCTCACCAAGCCGTCACTCTGGGTGAATTCTTTATGCTCCAGAACTACTGAGAGTTGATATTAAGTGGCTTTAAGAAGCATAATTTGACTTAGGTTGCTTATTAAATATCTCATTTCATATCTATAAAATGAAATAAATAAAACTGTGAAGATAAAAGTAAAAAAAAGAACATGTTTTCAAAATAAAAAATATCTTTAAAATATTTTATGTTTTATTACTTTTGCTGTTTTTACAATTATTTGCTGACTAAAAGCGTAGCTCTCTCTCTTCTGCAACCACCTCTTAAGTATAACAAAGTTCATCCCTGCAGCACTCATTTCTCTGCTTTCTGTTTATCATCTCTCCTATTTGCTCAGCTGCTATTTCTCCCAGAAGGTAAGTCGCATGCGCAGCGTCGGAGCCAGTCAAGAAGTTGTAAACACCTAAAAAAATTTAAAATAGGAAGTAAATGATCTTAGTTACCTTTGATGTGGTTGATTTTGGCCTCATCTAGTAATCCAGAAGAAGATGCTCCCATGCTGTATGCTTTATTATCTTGTCTACAGGAGCTGCATTAACTGAATATAGATGAGCAGAGTGCACAGGAGCACATGTCAACTGAGTGATTTGCTCTAAGTGTCAAGAAGTTTTGAGCTCAGCTCATTTCCTCTCTTCTGTGTGTGTGTGTGTGGGGGGGGTAGTTGGGCGGGGTGTGAGGTAAATTATGTCAACAGGGCATCAAACTTAAATGTCACAGCTATCCTTGCAGGGCCACCTGCTGGTGAATGGACTTGTTTTAAATAAACGTCTTATTATGACAAACCTTACATGTAATAAGGAATAGTGGAATAGTGTCACAGCTGCAGAAAAAATAAAGATTACAGTTTAGTTTAGAAGCATGTTGGTTTGATCGGGTTAATTTCTAATATATCAGATTATTTTTCCCTTTAACTCTTGTTTGCTCTTTAGTGTGTGATGCATCAAAATGATTTTAGTTTATGTGATATCTGTTGCAGTATGACAAAAGTATGTGCACTGAAAAAGATAAAAAAATACTTAATTTAGTTACTTTAACACAACTGTTTTATGTCTTACCCTCCTAACATGAGAAAAATGTGTTTAGGTAACTAAATATGATTAAGTAAATGCCAAAAATGGTTGCATTGTGGGTGTGTATGTGTGTGTGTGTGCATAACTGTCTCCGTATTACAAAAAAAAAAAAAAAAAGTTCAACAACATCTGAACTTTATTTTGGGTTAATTGGGGGAATTTTAAGTGATAGGTCTACACTGACTAAACACTGTTTAGTAATTGTGTTCACTAATCATAATATTATATTGTTTTATTTTTTTGTTTTTTAAATTTCCTCATAAACAGTTGTGGGTCACATAGAACGAGAAAAAACATTTTCAAAAACATAAAACCTCAGTTATTACTAAGATCCAGTACTTTCTGTGTAAACATTTTGTTTGCACTGCATCTTTTATGATTTTATTTTATATATTTCAAACTATTTATGTATTTATTGTAGTAGAAGCTATGTGTGAATAATCTATTTATTAAAAAAGAATGCTATTTTTTATATAAGTATGTGAATTTATTAGTCATACCTCCTCGCCTTTGACCAATCAGAGGGTCTGTTTTATCCTCGGTAATGAGAGGCCTGTTTTGATTGGCTGGCAGTATTTACACAGTGTTTGATGTGAGCAAACCTGGTTCGTCCTTCAGACTCAGTCCGGACCGTATGGACCCACCAGGCTCCTCATTTCACACAGGGAAAGCCAAAAGAAAAGGGAAAAAAAATCTGATTTAGTTTCTTTTTTATATATATTACACCCAAATTCCTTTTTTTATTATATGTTTCTCTCAACTTTGTGTTTTCGTATCTTTAATACGGTTTATTAACAGTAGACCGTTTCAAATTAATCCAAACTATACTTTTAAGCTTTTTGGAAATCAAACTGTTTTCCTGATAAACTTCCTGGATGCGTTTTTATTTATATAATAATCAATTTCTATCAGATAAGTGCCACTAATAATTACCTGGAAACATTTAGTGTTTTTATGTGGAGGATGTGGCGCATAATGACCCTGGTGGTTTTTTGCTGCGCTGGACGCGGACTGGATGGTCTGGACCCCTCCGGTCCCAGGACCCTCGGTAAGCCGGACAGAGGGGCCTCTTCTCCTGGAAGGACTGAGGACAGAGATGGGAGAGTCGCTCCAGCTGGGAGTTTGCAGCCCACCAGTGAGCCTCTGGAGGAAGAGCTGGACAACCAGGAGAATATAATAAGCCAGGTTAGTTTCTTTTACGCAGATATTATCCAACAAACCTTTTTTCTTCATTTCAATTCAACCACAAAATATGTATTACATCAATTTTAATGCACCTCAAATAGTTTGAAACATTATCACTGCAAACTTTGATGTATTTTTGGGGAGGATTTTATGTGAAATATCAACCTTATTACTAAAAAAAGAAAAGAAAAAAAAAGTGTATTTTTCTACAAATAAAAAAACAGATTTATATAATTGTATAATGTTTATATTCAGCTCCTTTGACATACCCCCTTCCCTATGGGGGGACACAGCTTAGACCAAGGATTATGCCAGAAATGTTGAGGATAAAGTTGGGTTTGGATAACAGGATTAAAAAATATTTATAGGTTTTGCATTTCATATCACACAGAGCTTAGTTTCATCATGCAAAATTGAAAAAACATGTTTGCTCTGCAGACCTCAACCTCCTAATAGGCTTATTGGCAAGGAGAGCAATAATCAGTGAAGCTGCCAAAAGACCCATGATATCTCTTGAGGAGTTGAAAAGGTTCACAGCTCAGATGGAAGAACTTGTTAAAAGACTAACTATGAGTTATACATTCTAGTATATTGGGTCTCTATGGGGTTGTTTTAAGTCTGCTACACGCATCATAGAGAAAACTGAGACCATGTGGAAAAAGGTATTTTAGAGGAGACAAATACTGTGAGCTTGGTCTTCATTCAAATTAACAAATTAGGCACATTACCCCAAAAATCCTGCAGTGATATCTGATGGTGAAAGCACCATAGTGTGGATGTGCTCTTTCATGCAGCAGGGAAACAGCCTATAAGAGGGTTGCAAAAGACTTGAAACTTGGGTGGAAGTTCATCTTCCTGCAGGAAAATAAGCCCAGATGTGCAGCCAAAGCAGCAGTGGTGTGGTTAAGATCAGGAGTGTCAAACAACAGTCCTGGAGCAGTTGTCCCGCAAATTTAGATGTGCAAGAAAGTTATAGCAAATTCACTATATCATTGAGGTGTGTTGAAGACCAATCACAGCTTATGGTTGCAGGACTGGAGTTTGATTCCTTTTGTTTAGATAGAAACATAATTATGTGTTAGAATGCTTGAGTCAAAGTCTACACCAAGATTCAAGAGAAAACGTAATTATATCATACTTTTAAGATATGTTTCTTCATATCACATGTCTATAAAGTTAGAGCAATTAAATGTTTTACTTTCCTTTCTGCATGAGGCATCATTTAATCCATCAATCTTATAGCAAAGCTTTTTTTTTTTTTTTTTTTCCACAGAACACATGCTTTAGTTTTTCCTATTTCAGGATTAGGAGTTTCTTTAGTCTCATCACTTATTACTTAAAAAGAAGGTCAGAACTTAATTATTATTTCTTTTAAACAAATCCAAACCCTAGTTTAAATGACTGGAAACACCAATGTTTGTGAGTTTGTCCATCGGCCCACATTATGGTAGCAGTTTGCATCCATCTGGCAGCCGGTTATGTAACATCTTTCCAGCTGCAAGAGCTCCAAACCAAGAAAACCTGCTTTTTTTGTGAATTGCTGTAGCTTTCATTTCAGAAGAGGCTCATCGCTGCAGCAGCTGTAAAGCACTGATAGTTCTGCAGTTTACTTTTTTATTTTTTAGGTTATAATCTCTATGATTCTGCTTCACAAACTGACGGGTATTTTAAAAAAAATGTTTTTCCTCTTTTCAGCTGCTTGGAGACTATGACAAAGTTAAAACAGAGTCGTCTGGGTCCGACTGTGTGTGCCGATGTGTAGTCCGACCAATCAAACGCTCTGATTGTAGCAGCCTTCGTGACACAGATCCAGCATCACTCTCCCAGGACTTTTACACCGTGGAAACAATCACCAAGGGAACAGACTGTAAGAAGTGTGTGTGCATGGCTCCTCCTTCGGCCGTTAACCCCTGCGAGGGAGAGTACAGGTTTAAAAAGTTACAGGAAGCAAGCAAAGACGACATAAAGGTAGAAACACACTGGTAGCACCTTCATGCTTGGTGTGGCAAACATTGATATAGAGTGATGTTGTTTTTGATAGAATCTTTTTTATCTCACACCAGTAGCCCTGGGTTATGAGTAAGGATGTTCTTCATTAATCTTCTGACATTTATTTTTGTGTTTGTCTTTTCCAAGCTGGCAACCATCATTGACTTATTAGAAGGCTCTCTATATGGAATGGATTTGTTAAAGCTTAACTCTGTGACCACAAAACTGCTATCTAGGGTGGATAACCTAGAGAAGGTGAGTGAACTCAATCTAAATGGTGTCATACTTCAAGGATTACAGCCCTGTATTGTTTTTCTGATCAAGAAAGCTTCAGGCTGATCGTATACTAAAAGTAGGACAAAGTGTTATGGTACGGCTTTCTTCAAAAATGGATACAATAATTTTTTTTCCTCAAAGTTTGACACATAACATCCCAAAATCACAGACTTAAAAATGTTTGTTTAAAATGTTTGTCGATTTAGTTAAAAACAAAAACAACTAGAAAAGCACTTAGAGAACGCAGACCTCCACCAAGCTGCAAAATTTGCCCCAAATTGTGGCTTATGATGCTAAAACTTGCACGTGATCTGGATCATTTAAATTTATTGCTTGGCATGAGGTAAACCTCTGGTAAAAAAAATTCCATTCATCTGTTCATAATTTTTCAACTGATTGTGCTAACAAACCAACAGTGAACAGCCAATAGTCACTGCTGCCACCCTCTGGTTTAGTGGGGAACTGCTTGATCCGTAAAATATCCTTATTTTATAATGTTAAAGAATTTGTTTTTAAAATCCTGTTTCCAGATTATGATCTGGATCATCACCAAAATTTTATCTGATCAAAAAAAATCATTAAAATCCATTCATTACCTTTAAAGTTAGAGTGACAAACACAAACTCTCCTAAAAAAATAACCTTGCAGAGGTAAAACCGCATGCACTGAAGACTTCATAGCTTTTTCTTAACTATAATAGAGATAAAGTCTGCTTTAAGAAGTTTCTAACAAGTTTTCCACTCTTAGTTTTTAACCCAGGCCACTGAAGAAGATTCGTAGACCCCTCCTGAAGTACCTTCTGTGTGCTCAAGTCAATGTTGTGTATTAAAATGAATTGTTTGCTCGGTCTGAGATGCAAAGAACTCTGAACAGCCTCCAGATCTAGTCCCGCCCTCATATCCTCCTGTCTGCTGCACTAGTCCCCAGTTCTGCCTCAGAAAAATCTCCTCTCATCATGATGCTTCCATCTCCATGCTGCACAGGGAATACAATGTTTACCAGGTGACAGTGATTAGGAAGGCCTGACATCTGTATAAAATCTTCTTTTAGGAACATTTCCCCATCTGATCAGTCAATCGAAAGAATAATCGGCAGATTAATTGATTAGCAAAATAATTTTTATTTGCAGCCCTAGTTTAATCAGTGGAGGTCTGTCCATTCACCATGAAGGCCTGATAGACTGTATTAGAGAAAGTTCACTTGTTGGATGGTTCTTCATCTCCACACACTGGTCTGCCTTAGTAATTATTGTTTTATTCAGCACCTCTTAAACCATGGATGTTTATCTGTGATTATTCAGTTAATTTTTGTGATCTGACTTAAGGACAATGGTCAAATGTGGTCTCAAACTTCTTCCATTCCCAGATAATACAGAACACAGAGTTTTTCAGTGCATTTGCTCCAAAAATGTGTTCTTAAAGATCTACAGATTATCCTATAAACTGATTGTTTGGTTTTTGCCCCTTAAGCAGTGACACCTTTTGTAAACACACATCCTCCATTTAAAATCTCCTTTAATCAATTGAATCGGCTTATAGAGGGTGTCATTGTAATAATGACTGTCAATACATTTGGTTTAGTTTTTCTTTTCTTTTTAATATATGAGCCCAAACTAAAAAAATCTAAAAAATCTGTTTTTGTCTTTTACTTTGGTAGCTAATGGGGCATACAGTTCAGATTAATTATATAACAAGTGAAAAACTGAAAAGCTTGTGGATCTACTGTACAGCTCAGATAAGAAGCTTAGATGAGCTTTTGTTATAGCATTTTTTAATTATTTCTTTTCTATTGTGCAGTTACTTTTAGACAGCAAGGACATTTTTTAACTTAAAAAGCAAGAATTGCGTAATTTAGAGTTTGTTGGGGATTTCCTGCAATCCACACAGAGGTGAAGCTATATGCACTGCAAAGATGAATGCACTAGTATTTGGTCAAATGTCCCTCAGCAAGTTGCAGAGAAATGTAGGGGGTTTTGGAAGCCCCATACAAGCTTCTGGCATAATTCTTCCTGGATATTTTTCCAGCCTCATTGGCAGAATTGGCAGAGTTCATGTAAATTGGTTGGTTTCTGGCAGAGGCCCAGCTTTGAAGCACAGCCCACAAATTTTCAATGGGGTTGAGATTGTGGCCATTCCAGAAGGTTAATGTCAGCCTGCTTTATCCACTCCAAAACTATTTTCTATGTGTATCTGGGACCATTGTCCTGTTAGAACAACTCACTGTGTTATTGTTAGTTTTGTCTTTAAACCAGGAATCTATTTGCTGCTATATTGTAGAGCACATCACATTGCAAAAATTGCCTTTAAATGAGTTTTAACGGATCTTTTGCAGCTTTTTAGACATCTTTGTTGATTTTTTCTTTAGTAGAGTCAGTAGTTCTTATGCACTTATTGCTTATAGTTAATATCTTTTCTTTTTCTGTTGCTAGAGTAACACAATTATTATAAACAGGTGAGTTAGTAGGCCTTTTATCTGCCCTGGCAAAGGAAGGGTGAAACTGGCTGATATGCTAGCCTTTAAATAAAGTGCACATATGTTTAAAATTATATAAGGGATTTCATTATTTGTTTTTTGTTTTTTGCTCTTAAATAAATGTCATTTTAGGTAGAGATTGCAGGAACATTTTATCCGATTTCATACCATAACTTTTAAAAACCTTGGCTTTTCTAAAGATTTTCTGCCAGACTCGCTCTTCAAGTGAGCTTTTTTGTATGCCACAGGTTTTCTCAAGGAATTTCACTGAAAGGACAAGAGAGAAAGAGCGCGTGAAGGAAAAAAATAAAGACAAAGATAAAAAGGTTCAGCCTAAGAAAAAGAAAACCAATGACTTGGAGCGATCTGGGGCTGCTGCCTCCGGCCAAAAGCAGGTATAAAAAAAAAAAAAGTAAATCAAACTATTTTATCAGAAATCTTGCTATTGTAGCTGAAATGTAAAAATAAAAAAAATTATTTTGTTGTTTTTTTTTTTTGCAGAAAAATCCTGAAGGTCAAATAAAGAAAGTCCAACAGCAAGATGGTCAGGTGCAACAGCAGCCATCTAAGAATGAGACTGAAACTAAAAGTACAGTCAAAGACAAGAACAATATGCTTATTAGGGGAGTGACCTTCTACAAGGCAGATGAAGACAGCTTCAAAGAGAAAGAAGAGAACAACCAAAACACAGGGAGAGGAAAGAATAGTAAGTGGCACAAGAGAGCATTTCTAACATTTTCAGGACCAATCTTATATCTTCTTTATTTGCCTTCTAGCTGTTTTAACCCAAAAAGACTTGAAGTTACCAACTGTGACCAGAAGTCCATCACTTCCTTTAAAACCAAACAATGAGCCCAAATCGAAAGTTCTGAGCAACTCTTCACTCACCCATCAGCCTAAAGCTCCATCAACCAGCAGCAAACAAGCAGCTCCAACTAAGTCAACTCCCTTAATCATCAAAGTGACTGATAAAATTAACCCTACAACTCCAGGACGGACGAACCAAAGCAAACTTCCAACTAAGAAAGGAGATTTTCTCTACACCACACCTGTCACTCGACACACCACAGATACGAATATCCATCCACCCAGTAATTCCAATCCGACAACAACCCTTCAACCAAGATCCAGAAGCCGCCTCAGCTGGACGGAGAGCCCCGCTGACCAACCCAAAACCACAAAGAAGCCAGGTAGAGTCAAACCGACTATCCAAAATATGATCATAGTAGATTAAGTTATAATAGCTGGAGTTAAAGTGGGCAGAATTAAAGATCAGGTTTAAACTACTGATGTTAGTTTGCAGCTTACGGTGTATAAACTGGAATATACCAGTATCTGCTGTGTGGGAGAACAGAAGTATCATACATGTTAATAGGGTACTGCCCAGGCATGGGGCAGTGAGGGATTCACACAGTATGATAAACCTGGGTAAAGATAACATGTCATCATAATGTTTTTCATGATATTTAATTTTTAAAATGGATCTGTTTGCTTTAATTTGAAAAAATAAAAAATAAATGCTTTAATCCTCCTGTTGCTCGAATAATATGGTTTTTTTTTTTGTAAGTTGCAATATTTTTTATTGGAATTTTATGTCTTTATAAATAGGCTTTCCAATTTATTTGGTTAATATTATACTTTTTGTCATTTAGAATTATAATCATAACTACAGTTGCTTTAAAAAAAAAACTTTTAATATCAAAAGAAATGAGGAGTTGTGTTCCTCTTGATATTCTGTTTCTTTTATGGAAACAATTACAAATATTTATTATGTATTTGTCTCTCTTGGACATGCTACTTAATACCCTAAACAGCTCAGGATTGCCCCGGTCAGTCTTGCAGAATTTCATTAAAAGTACTACAAACATTTGCAAAAGTAAGAAGGAATGTTTTTGTTGTTCGGAATATGCTTTTTTTTTTTTTTTACTCCAGTGTTTGTTTTGTTTTGTTTTGTTTTTTTGTCTAGCAGGTGTCTGTAAGGATACGGTAGCGAGCATCTCAGAGCCGGCCCAACAGAACTCTTATGGTCTCCGTGATGGTGCCTGGATGAAAGATGCCCGTGGCCATGGCAAAGTCATCTATCTCACTAACGGCCTCTTTGGAAACAATCTGCTGGAGTTTAGAGACATGGACACCTTTAAATCAGGTAAATAAATTGTGTGTGTGGAAGGCCAATAACTCAAAAGGTAACTTTAATAAACTGAGTTCAGTTTAAAGCGTTACATGTAAAACACTAGAGGTTAATGGGTAAATCAGATAATCAAATAAAACTAGTGAATTACCTTTTAGATTGATGATATAGCGATTTGATACACAGCGATTATTAAAGAATTCTGCAAAGGCAACTTATCGTGAGTACCTTTTAGCCCTTCAGTAATGTGTATTACTACCACCAAATATTCAAAATCAGAGATCACCAGAAACATGTCTTTGACCTGCCAGTAACTTGATCAGTGATTTGGTCATTAAAAGTTAAAGATTTGCTTTTTTAGCAAACAGTCCAAATCTTAACATAATACGTTTGGATAGAAAATTGTGCCCACAATCGTTGGTTGGGAAGTTCGGGAAAGGAGACTCAACAAGGGTCCTAGTCAGATACTCTGACATAAAAATATATAAAAAAAAAAAAAGCATATCTATCTTCCAATAAAGCAATATATATTTGACCTTGTAGTGTTTACTTAGTCATTTTTGAGCCTGAAAATAATTTTTGCAACAGGTAGTTTCAAACAAAAAAAGCAGGATTTTAACAATGCAGCAAATTGTCATAATAATGCCTAGGACATGTACACTGAAAAAAATAATGCAACCGTTTTTGGTATTCACTTAATTATATTTAGTTACTTTAATACAATTGTGTAAAAGTAACTAAATATGATTAAGTAAATGCCAAAAATGGTTGCATTATTTTTTTCAGTGTAGGTCTATAGGGTTGCAGACATGTAGATTTGCAGCACTATAATAGACAATAACAATTAACTAATTAGTCAGGTGATAGAGCGGACACAGGCTATTTTAATTGGAATAAGCAGGAAATGGGGACAACGCAGGAAAGCTTTTCTCTGCCAGTTGTACAATAAGGGGCAGAATCTTTGCTAATCAGCAGCTCCTCCAGGTACAAACAGGACAGCATGGCTGCCGAAGCATCAAGGGAGGCAGTGATACCTCCACTGCCTGACAGTGCTCACACAGGCTGCTAAACAGGCTTAAAGGAGAAAAAAGTTGAAGAGGGACTTGAAGAGTAACAGTGACAAACATAGAATTAAATCTTATGCATATCTCGGCACAGCTTACTCCAGGTGGAGAGCTTTGCTTTGCTGCCTTAGACTATTTGGACTCAAAACCAACTGTATTTCTGCTAGACGTAATTTTTTATGAGCATTCATTAGCATATTAGCTGCGTGATACTTTCTGCTTTAGTTATATTTCATATGTGCCTCTCAGATACAAGAAATGGGGTAGAGAGGGGGGTTTCCCATGGGGGGCAGGACTTACAGCCCATCCTGCTCAGAATCAGATATAGTTCCTTTAGACTTACTCAATTTCTAAAAAGTGTTTTTTCATTTGCTGTGTTTGTTCAGGCCAGCCAAGTAATTCGTACAAGCTGCCGTACGATTTCACCGGAACAGGCCATGTAGTGTTTAATGGAGCGTTCTTCTACAACCGGGCGTTCAGCAGGGATGTGATCAGATTTGACCTGAGACGCAGATACGTGTCTGCTTGGACAACGCTCCATGATGCTATCCTGGAGGAGCAAACTCACAGGACAGAAACTGAAGTAAGCTTTCACTCATGTAAGAGGTCAATATCAATTCAGTGGGTTTGTAGATACAAAGAAAAGTCATTTGTTTAAAGAAAATTGTGCTTTCATAAGAGTTATCAATATCTGACCTGACTGACTCAACCAAACTGCCTCCTCAGCCTGAGCACAGCATATTCATTCTGAAGTTAAGCCGGCCTCCAATTCATAGATGACAGTCAAGTCGGCCCTCATTTGACCTAGTAGATCACATAAACAGCATGAGTTATGGTAGTAACTCGGGTTTGGGCTTTCAAGATAAAAGCAACATGAATCAGTGCTTTCATTCTTGCTCCTGAAATAATTTTTCTATGCTTATATTAATATGCAAATACAAATATTATATTTTGTTTTGTCTTTTTGTTTTGTTTTTTACTGTCACTGTTTTATCTGCTGAATTGTGTTTTCATGATCTCAGAATGTCCACTTATCTTTGACAAGCTTTCATAATTATCAAAACATAACAGTTTTACTCAAGGCCAACAGTAAAATACCTCCAGATGTTCCTAATTTAAGTCTATCTGTATCTGATGGGGAATTTCAAAATAATAATTGTTGGAGCAAAACTGTTTGCTTTCAGTAAATAGTTTCACTTCTGGATGACAGTTAGACACATCCAGATGTTACTCATTAATTTTAATCGGGTCTGGAATTTCCCAATTAAGACAATTTAGATCACTATCTATTCACTTTTCACCAAGTTGCTGTCAATGTACTGCAAAAATGTTTGTCTCCCATGAAAACTTTTATTTTATGATATGCTGCTAACCGAAGTTCATTAAGCTCTGGTGTCGAATTTCAAAATTAAAGCATATACGTTCTGATTATTAATACTGACTTTGAACTAAGTTACTCTCAATGTTGAGACAAAACTGTTTGTTTTCAGAGAATAATTTCACAGTAAAGCATCCCCAGCTGTTATTCACCAAAAGTCAACCATATTTGATTTGTAAATTCAAAATTAAAGGTCTTCAAATTCACTTCTGTGTACTTCCCTTTAAATAAATTGCAGTTATTCTGCTATAAAGCTGTTTATTTTCAGTGAATAGCTTTTAATTCAGTAGAAGACATATAGATGTTACTCACCAGTGTTCACCAAGATCTGATGTGGACTTTCAAAAGTAAAGCCTTTCAGAATCTGTTGTTGGTCACTCCTTGATAAGTTGCAATCAAGGTTGCTACAAAACTGTCTCTTCATTGAATGAAGTTAATCTGTATGACAGTTGAACATTTAAAGATGTTAGTCACCAAAGTTAATCCACATCTGATGTTAAATTTCAAAATTCATCCATCTTCTTCTGCTTATCTGGAGTCGGGTTGTGGGGCTAGCAGCCTTAGTAAGAAGGCTTCCCTTTCCCCGCGCTACTTTGGCCGGCTCCTCAGGGGGAATCCCAAGGCATTCCCAGGCTAGATAGTCCCTTCAGTTTGTCCTTAGTCATCCTTTGGATGTCCTCCCGGTGGGACATGCCCAGAACACTTCACCAGGGTGGCGTCCAGGAGGCATCCTAACCAGATACCCAAGCCACCTCTACTGTCTCTACTCTGATTCGCCTCTGGATGACTAAGCTTATCCCCCTACCTCTAAGAGAGACCCCCGACACCCTACAGAGAAAACTCATTTCAGCCGCTTGTATCTTGGATCTGGTTTTTTTGATCATGACCCAAAACTCAGGACCGTAGATGAGGGTAGGAATGCAGATCGACCAGTAAATTCAGGAGACAGTGGCGTCAGATGCAGGAGTTCGCCCTGCAACCAGAGGGTGGCAGTTCAAACCCTGGCTTTCAGTGTCATTGTGTCCTTTGGCAAGACACTTGACCTGCATTGCCTGCTGATGGTGGTCAGAGGGACTGGTGGTGCAAGTGTATGGCAGCATTGCTTCTGTCAGTGAGCCCCAGGGCACCTGTGGCTAAAATGTAGCTTGGGTGAATGACTGAATGTGGTTTGAAGTGCTTTGGTCAAGTCTCCTGACTCCTCCAAACTCCTCCACTTACGACTTCGACTTCCTCCCCGACCCATAGAACGCCATTTCCCCTTTTCTGGCTCAAGGTCATGGACTCTGAATTGGAGGCACTGATCCTTCTCCTGCCTGCTTCACACACCGCTGCGAACCGCTCCAGTGAGAGCTGTAGATCACGGCCTGATGAAGCCAACAGGAAGCCATTATTATCATAATGAAACTGTGACGAAATTTTACAGACTTTACTTTAAATGCACAAATTCAATTATGAACAGAAAGAAATGTCTTTAAAAAACACCCTTTGAAAATGTAAAAACACACTGACAAAAATTTAGGATAAATTTAGAAACACAAAAATATATTTAAAAAAAATTGTGTATTAAGTACATAAACTGTAGCTTTGGTGTAGCGCCAAAAGAAATGGCTCAAAATCGAAAATAAGTGCATAAATCTGTAACTCACTATAACTTACTGCAGTGGTAAGTTTTAGATAGCAGTTTTCTATCAAATCCATCTTTAAAAAACATATTTTATTGCTGTATGTTTCTGCCTTCATAAGCGTAGTTTATCATAACATACTGATTGATGTAGGAAAAGCAGTAGGTT